TGTGTGTGTGTGTGTGTGTGTGTGTGTGTGTGTGTGTGTGTGTGTGTGTGTGTGAGAGAGAAGAGAGGGGGAGCAGAAAGAGGAAAAGAGTCCATCTGAGTTTTTTAATAAGGGAACTGAATATTCTACACTATTATATAACTAATAAAAATTGGAAGCTAGTGCCAACATTCTTAATATAGTTTCCAAAACTGTAAAACATCATTAATGTTGTTTTAAAACAATATTAATGATTCAATAATAAGGCATCATGTCAAGTCCCACTATGTTATTTCAGATAAATGGTAGATTTTTCTATTTTCTCCATATGGGAAAATAACATAATATTTGTAACGCTAATAACGCTGATAACATCATTTCCATTAGCAACGTTGACGTAATTTTTAAATAATAATAACAAATATAATCATTACTTTTATCGTTATTTTGTATACATAGAACACATATATATGGAATAATCATAAGCAAAAAGAAAAAGATTTTCAAACTTGATAAAAAATTACAATGACTCATTAATTTTTATATAATGCTAATAATAACGATGTACTTTTCAGAAGTAACTTCTCAAACTCTATATTTTACACTTGTTTAGTCATTAATCTGATTAATTATTAACCATTAAGCGGATGGATCTCTCGCTCAAATATTAGTGGACATCGCGAACTTATTATTTATTTGTTATAAAATTGTAATAAAAAAATTATAAATATACTATAGAAAAAATAAAATATATTTGTAATGTAAAATGTAACATTGGGATTTTTTGTGTTTCTAAATCTATGCTATATAGAATATCCATATTATGCTATCCCAGCAAAAGGAGAATACCTAAATATCTCCTTTATTTTCAATACAGGATATTTCAGAACAATCTACAATATTTTAGACAATTCACGAAGCTCTTGTCAGAATGTAGAGCACGTATTTAAATAAATATAAAAGTCCTATACCGTTTTGCTATATTCGTAATAATAACCCAGAAATTAATTATGAAAGATTAAGGAAAAGCATGTGCTGAATAGTAAAGGACGAACTGCTCGAGTCACAGCGCAGCCCAATAATATAGCGCGCGGATGTAGCTATTGGAAAACAACCCAATAAATAAGGAACATTAAATTAACGTTTAGAAACGTTGACTTCATGTGCATTGTTTGGACATTTTTTAATAATATTGCATTTATATTTTTTACATGTTATTATGCGATATGATTTTTCTGAATATTGTTTAAACGTTTTAAAAACATTATAAAAAATATATTTTTTAAATGTTACTTTAACATTTACTTGAGATCAATGCAACATCTTAAAAATATTTCTGACAGTTAAAACGTTATGGCAATCCTATTTCAACATTATTGAAACTTCCAAATCGCGGTCAAAGTATGTTCATAATGATGTTTGATACAATATTAAACACTGCATATTTGACAATATTACAGGTTCTTGAATATCATTGTAGTAACGTTATATTAATGATTTCATGCTTACTGGGAATGCACCACTATCTATACTTGTATCATTGTACTCCTACATCTTGCCTCGGCGTGGTGCGGCAAGCATAGGAGCGCAGCAGTATAAGTATAGGCAGTGATTCTTTTCCAATCGCCTCGCGCGACGTCCGTGCGCTATATTATTGGGCTGCGTTACCTATGTGAACCTGGCACCCGACTTCAATAAAAAATTTTTTTCATATATACATTCGATTAAGCTCGGTTTGTACCCGTTTGTACCGCCTTTTGTTTCGTTTGTACCTCAAAGGGGTAAAAGTTACAAGGGGTTAAAAAAAGACCAGCACCCCACTTTAAGAAAAAAGAATCTTCCAAATGTTATTCGATTAAGCATCGTTTGTACCCGTTTGTACCGCTATTTGTTTCGTTTGTACCTCAAAGGGGTAAAAGTTACAAGGGGTTAAAAAAATTATCCAC